GTGTGACAGAAAGCAGGAGGAGCAAAGTCTGGACAGCTGCCCTCCTACCAATGCCCCATGTGACAACAAAATTATGGACTGTGGCAGCTTGTATGTAACTAAAATTAAGCCAGGTAACCTTTTTGTCCTTCAGATTCACTATCTATCAAGGTAATACAGAGTTGCAAGTGTACCTGTCATAGGAAAAAGAGAATCAGGCTAATATGAATTTTCTAAGCCAACAAGTGGGGCTTTGTGTCATTAGAAGATACGCTGTGTTAACAAAAGATTATCCAAAGCTTTCTCCAAAGTAGTAAGTTCCTCTGCTATGTGTGCGCCCCAAGTGCATGTGCACACACATGTTTTCTGACACTTGACTGACAACTCTTTTTTTTAAGAAAAACACTGATTCCCAGAAGTGCCTGTATTTCACATTGCAAATATTAGTTCTTTCCCTCTAGCACAGAGATTTTGCGATACTCTCTGTAAAAGACAAGGAAACTTGGGGTGATTTTGCAGGTTGTTTCTGAGGGAGTCCTGGAAAGGATAAAAGGTTCCTGGAGATCTTTTAGTCACAGAGAAGTCTTTTTTTCCTAAATCCAGTGCCCAGGGAGTGCAGTGCATTTAGAGGGGGTGGGGGAGTTATGCCCAGTGTGGCTGGCATTATTGCTAGAACAGTCGAGCCACATGGACTATTAATAAAATTATATGTTTATAGAAAATTGGGCAATTTAAAAGCAGAGCTCTGTGTTCCTTTCCAAACACCTTCTCTGTTGTTTAGAATAGAATTGTTAAGCATGTGAGGTTGATTCTTTAGTTTCCAGTGTTCACAGCTCCCACTCGTCTTTGAAAGTTCCTTTATTGCATCTACTTACAGTAGTCAAATTGCAACCGTTAAATGATGTACATTAAGAAGAAATGTACCCCCGTGGCTGCTTGTGCTTTTGTCATGATATTGGGAGCTGGGGATCCTAGAGAGGTGGGCATGGTTCATGAGCTCGCGGAAACAATACAGGGTACAGAGTGTTAGAAATCATAAAGCATCACTCTTAATGTGATCCATGTCACAGTTCCCTGCTTGCCATGTGGTGCTCCCCACACACCCTTGCCGCCCCTACCACCCCTCCCACTCTTCTTGACACATTCAGTAACTCTGGAGAAGGAGGTTCATGTCACCGATAGTGAAGTTCCACCTCATGTCTGTCTTCCCCTGACTCCATCCTGCCCCAGACAAGTGCTTTCTGAATCACAGAGCTACCAACAAAAAGAAACACAGTCCTGAACAACCAGCACAAATCCAGGTGATGTCTAAGTGTCCCAAATGAAAAATGTTACCCCCAAGTCTCTGCATTGAACTTGCACAAGCAGGAAAACCCCACCAGGAGGAACCCAGAGAACATGGCCTTTTGTGAAAGATATCCAGGCGTGGCATTTCCTTATTTGAAGATATTCAATGATACGGTTATTATAAGGACAATATCTCAGTTTTCAGATATTTCAGGTCCATGAAGAAAGCAGAGCATGCTCCTGTGACTTCAAGGACTTAAGTGACCCCTGTCCAAGACTTATCTTGTTATCTGGCTGCAACACTCAATGGAGCCAGCACTGCTGCAGGGAGGAAGGCCTGGGGAAGGAATCAGGATGCTATAATACCTTGGTGCTTACTAATTCTTTTCTTCACTTACTAATTCTGTGAACTTGGTTAGCTCCTTTACCTTCATGTCCTTATAAGGGAAATGAGCATCATGTTTCTCTTATTGGTGGCTGCGAGGCACAAAGGATGTCTTGCATGGGAAACTAGATGCGATTCAATAATGGAAAAATCAAAATTAATGCAATGACCTTGCACTCACTTCAGTTACTTTGTTCTGTTTCAATGTGGTAACCTCTTTTCAGATGAGGTTTATACAGCTTGTCAGTAATTGTTTGAAACCAAGATGTTAACATTTAAAACTGACTGGCAAAAATGTTGTAGAATTGCATTATATATAAGAAACAAAACTACTGAAGTCATAAAATAGGTGAGTTTTCAAAACGATGGGGCTATTTCTTAGCTGATCAAGGAGAAACATTGAAATTGAGTGGGGGTTTGCCTATCGTACTCAGAGTTAGCTAGGTATTCTGTTTGTAAAAATGCTGGTTTCTTCACATGAAAGGTAATTTTTCTTAGAGCAAGACAACCGTATAACTCCCCACCAGTCATGATTTCAATGCAGCACAAAATTTGGCACGTGGCATGAGTAATATGCTAACTCAAATTATTTTACGCCACACTGAGATGCCTGAAGGTATGAATGCTATAAATTCAGTTTCACTATATTTAGCCCGAGCTGCTCTGTGAGCATCGCCTTTCTCTTCTCTTCATTCATTCTTTCATTTCTACTTTTTCCTTCTTTTTCCTCCTCACTATTTCTCCCTCTCCCTTTTCTATTCAAGTTGCCATCTTCCCAAGAGCAAGAAAAGCTTACATTGGTAATATTCAATCAGATAGACAGCTTTAGTGTGTATATCAGATCAAACTAATATACCTTGGTCAAACCCCTTGCTAATAAGATGGATTCTGTAATGATGGTCCTGGATCATACTATTAGGTCGTGTGCCCTACAGGGAAAAGTACATTTAGGCATGTTTGGGGGAAAAAGCAAATATCTGTGTTAAGAAAAAAATGTGGCAAGTGCAGTTCTCTATTCAACTTGCTATCTTGAGTTGAAGAAGAAAGCTGGTTGACATACTAGAAATACGCCCAGGTAATGTAGCAAACAAGACATGCTGGCATTGTAAATTGGTTGAGTGACCTTTGAGGGGAATCAAAATGCTACATGTAGCTCTAATTGAATATTTTTCACTTAGTCTTTTGAGACTGATAAGACTGTGAGAAGACAGAGGCATATGTAAACTACATCTTTACCCTTAATATTATTGTGAATTTCTAGTTTCCCATTAATTAGAGTGATCTTCTCCACATGCTCATATTGTCAGAGAATAAATAAGAGAAATGTCTTAATGATTGATTTATTGCAGCAGCACAAAATGTTCAGCGGTTGATAGTTCAGACCTTTCATATCTTTTCTGTTTTCATGACCAAGCTTTCAGAAAAATAGAGCTGGACAATTCTAATTAGTTTTCCTAGGACTAGGAAACCCCAGTTGCCATTTTAGTTACTTCTGCATTTCTAGCCCTGAAATTGTATATATAATTTGCCCTCCAAAAACACAGAACTGGAGGAGCATAAATCTGATTCTTGAATTTGGGGGATGCAATTTCAGCATCAAAGGATTTTTCATATTCTCATCATATCCTCGAATTCAATATAGAAAAAACTGAATGTAACCAGCTTTAAAAAGAAATGAAGTAGATTCTTTAGTTTGATAGTTTACTTTTTGCTTTTGTCATGAGGTGTATCAAGTAGGTGGGAATTTTGAGATTCTTAATCTTTCTCAAATTTCCCATAAATAACATATATCTAAAGGGATTTTAGTAGAAAATATTTTCCTAATTAAAAATAAAAACAGATTTCATAATTTATGGTGAGTTGTTTTTTGAAATGACTACAAAAATACATCAAATAATGCAGACAAGTGTTAACAGAAATATTAAGCTCATAAGGAATATTTAAAAATATATGTAGCCTCCAATTAAGATGAGAAGTCTGTTTTTGTCAGGTTGGTCACATAATAAAGATCAAATATTGAGCAAAAAATGTATTGGTACTTAAAATTTTACATATGTTTTCCTGGTATAGATTGTTTATATCCTGTAGGCTAAGAACTGTCTTACGCATTTGTATTCATTTGTTACCAGGCAAAGCACCTCAGTCAATCAGTTTCTGATAACTTTGAATGGCAAAATGGATTCTGCTATCTCCCATGATTCCTGGTTGTCATCTCCAACCTCTTTTTTCTTGATCTCAAGGAATCATAGGTTTGTTTCTCTCTCTCTTTTATCCTTCTGGTCTTCTAGTTTCTGCTGTAGCCATTCAATGTTGGGTCATACTTACCTCAGGGACTTGAAAATCCCTGAGTCTGGCCTATGGAAGGCCCTTTCCTTGCCTCTCAGTTCTGGCTCTGAGTCTCCAGAACTTGTGCTCTGGGAATGAGACCACTGATGAGCTGGTTGGAGTAGCAGCAGTAGAACTGAAGAACTAGGTTCCTGAATATCTTTCAGAAGCTCTGTGACTTATAGAGTGGCTCACTGAAGACTTTGCTTCCTGTGTCAGCTGGGCATCCCCACACACATTGTACAACTCACTTCATTAAAGGGCAAGCCATTACTCAATAGCAAGTTCTTCATGCACTGACAAGGTTATGATGGATCTGGTGTTACATAAATGTATTTATGAGCTCCAGAAAGAACACATCTGCTTCCTTCTCAACGCTATCATTCAGATGCTCCTTGTGCTTGGCAAATCAACTTTCTCATTTTCATTACACCAAAATTAACTTTAAAATTTACTTACATGAGGAAAAACTTAGTGAATCACAATCAGATTTATGCTCCTCCAGTTAGAAGTGAATATATACTCACTGTGATTATTTAACATTGAGTAGAACCATATATTATATTCCCCATGTAACTGCTTATTTTATGGCTGTATTCATCTATTTTTCTTAAAAGTTAAATAGAATGCTTAGGATTTGATCTAATAAACAGTATGTAATTTTCCCAATACTTTAACCTCTCCCTCTTCTTTGGACTTTTATCTCTGATCCAAAACAACCTTCTGCTCATTCTTTGTCCCCTTTGCTCTTCTCAAACTTCTTACTCTCTTCATTCCATCCTGCTAACATTTCTCACTTCCCACAGTCTGACTTACCATCATTAAACCCTTTCTGTAGAAAACCAACAATGGTCTCCAAGATAGCATCCTTTAGATAATTTTCAACTTCCTTAATTTTTCTGAAGCATCTTAGGGGTTCCATTCAAGTTCCCATAAGTTCCTTTTCCTTATGTATTCATACCCATATCTATATTAAGAAGGGAGCTCCAGAGAAATGAAACAAATAGGATATACAGAGATAATATAAGGTTTATTATTGGATTTGGCTCTTTCAACTATGGAGGCCCAAGTTCACAGCTTACCACTTGCAAAGTGGAGAACTAGGAAAGATGGTTGTGTAATCTGGTCTGAGTCTGATGACCTGAGAACTGGGTGGCCCAATGGTGTAAGTTCTAGTATTAGTCTAATTGTCTCAGAATCAGCAGCACCTGAAAACCAAGGGAAGGAGAAGTTAAATGTCTTCTCTCAATCAGAGGGTGAATTTACCTTTCTTCCACCTTTTTATTTTCTTAAGACCTTCAATGAATTATGTGATGCCCATCTGCACTGGTGAAAGTGATCTTAGATCATCTTAGTCTACCAATTCAAACGCTAATCTCTTCCTCACAGACATACCCAGAAATGATTTATCAGTTATCTGGGAATTTCTTAGTCTGACACAAAATTAGTCATCATAGCATCAAATATCACATTAAGTGTTCATGATTTTCAGATTTATAGCTTTGGTCCAGACCTCTTTCCTGAGCCCCAAACTTTCTATTTCCTTCTCAGCCATCTCTGCTTAGATATTCCATAGTGGTGGTACCCCAAACAGAATTAATCATCTTATTATTCTACATCCTGATCCCATAAATCCACTCCTGAATTTCTTATAAAAGACATTTTCTTACCCCAGCTGTCCAAGTCAGACATGAGGGTATCATCCCAGATTACTACTTTATAAAGTCCACATTTTGTCAGTTCCTGTCTCAAATAATTCTCATTTTGGTTCCCCATTTCTATTACCAGGGCCACCTGTGTGGGTGATGATCTTCTTGTCACTTGCCCATTATATTTGTCATAATAGGCCACCTTCTTCACAAAACTGCTGAAATGACATTTCTAATGTGAAAATCTGATCCCTCCTCCTACAGCTCAATATTCTGCAGTGGTTTTTGATTTTTTCAGATAAAATCTAAAGTATTTTGCTTGATAAAGTCTTCCAACATCAGGAGTCTCTCCAACCTTCACTCCCACGTATCTGTGACTTCAGTCACTCTCCCCACTTAATACTGTACATTCTGGGAGTACTGAGTCACTCAGTTTCCCAAACATTCCTTGATCTGTGCATTGCTAGGCTTGGGGCATGTCGTGTCTTGCTTTCCACATTTTCAAGGCTCAGTTAGGTACTTTATATGAAGGTGTTTTTTTTTTTTTTACCTCCTGGACACATGTTATTACAATATTACTATACCTGGTTAACACATCATAACCAAAATGTTGCTTTTTATCTGCCTCTGCCTCTCTATAGGTTGTAACTTTCCTCTCTATAGGTTGTAACTTTCCTATAGGTAGGTTATGTGTTTCCATTTCTGTATCACACACAAGTGTTAACACATAATAGGAACCCAATAAGTGTTTTCTCAATCAAAGAAAAACTGAATGGATAAATGGGTAAAATTACTGAAATAGTCTAGGACTTGGAAGCTATGTGATACTTTCTTTTTCCATTTCAAATTTTATCTTGATTCTGTGTAGACACATCATTAATTAAATTCTGAATGCATGACAAGCCTTATAGAGCATGATTATATTTCTATCTAAGATGAAGATAAAAATATTTGCATGTAAATGAGACAATACCCATGTTCAGAGAAGCACTCTCTCTCAATACGCCAAATAAACTCCATTACCTGTTGGGAAATAAATGAAATCCACTGCAATAATGGGTTTTCAAGCCAATTTTCCAGGCAAGAGCTCATTTCTTTCTGAAAGTAAATATGCTTCCCAAGCCTCTAAAATCAGCTCTTGCTTATGTGTACACATGCACATCTCATTCAGGATCTGTGAAGTTTGAAATGAGCTCTAAGTGTGAACAAGACATCTGTAGGTTCCACAAATTCTGTTTGCTCAAATTAACAAGCAAGGCTTTAAATTTCTAAATAACTTTAGTTATGAGGGCACTTCATATTTGAAGCATTTTCTCTTGTCTCTAAATAGAGAACTATTTCTTAATTCTCGAAATTGATGTAGAAAGCAATGGAACAGAAAAATGCCCTCATTCTTTTGGCTTTAATTCTTTTATTTTTCCTTCTTCATTCATACCCTCCCTCCTCAGTTCTTAAGTTGCTGATGGCTGATTCTAATGACTTAATATTTTCCTGTATGAGGCTCAACAGTAAATTTAATAAAACTCAATCCTCTTTACAAACTAATGAGATGGACTTTATTATTGTTATCTCCATGTAAGGAAACTGATGCAGGCAAAGAATAAGGCCTACAGATCGTAATTATTAAAGCCAGGTTTGGAACTCAGGTCTGATTCCAAAACCTTGTCTATAAACCTTTGTGGCCTGTCTTATCCACAGGATGATTAAAAATTGTGAGAAAGTAAATTACTCTATTTCCTTTTGAACCCCCTTCAAGGTCTGTTTAACAAAAATTGTCCACATCTCATTAATATTACATTGCTTTTCACATGTACTTTATGAGGTAGAAGGAGATATAGCTAGTCAGGTTGATTCCAATTTGTGAGATTTAATACTGAGTTCAGAGGGACTAAATGCTCCAAAGAAAAGTAAGGCAACAGAAAGGGAAGTTTTATGTTTCTGATCATCTTATTGAGAAATAGAAAAACCCAAGAAAATAGAGAAATTTCAGGTAAAGCACCTCTGGCAAATATTTCTGTTTCTGTTACAACTGTTTGCCTCTGCTGTTGTAATGTGAGAACAGCCACAGGCAAAACCTAAATAAATGACTATTTTCCAATAAAACTTTATTTACGAAAAACAGGTGGGGGGTCATACTTTGTTGACTCCTGCTTTAAAGTTATGTTCCTTACATTGTGCTATCAACCCAGATATTTGGAAATACCTAGATGATTACAAAAATGTACAGACTGATAGAATTTTAGTTCTAGCAACATTATTTTCATGCTACACAATATCATCCCAATGTTTAACTGAATGTTATAAGAGTTCAGAGAGAGGTGATCTATTTTAACTCTTGGAGCAGGCTGTCTGGCAATTTCTGGCATCAAACTGTGAAGGCTTACAAAAGCTTTTGATAGCTATGGAACTGTGTTCGTACAATTTGAAATTGCAATCTTGGCTGGGAGGATTTAGAATCAGACTTGAATATGGAGGGATGATGCAAATAAAGGTGTTGTAAACCTTTGCAGTGATATACCAATAAGCAAAGCTGGTCACAGCAGTTTCATTGTCTGAACTGATTAATTGCAATTTTCCCCTTTAAAAACAATAGAAAAAGGAAAAACCAGACTCCAACATACACATTTCAATTTCATGGTTCCTTATTAGAGATTTACTTTATTTTTAGGATGGCTGGCCTATTTTAAGATGGTTGTTATTCTGATTTTCACATGACTATAGACTGGTAGAGAAGTATATGGAAATAGTTTTTGAGTTGGGAGTTCCACTCTGCCACTTTATAACAGTGTGTACAATTTCTTAAACCTCTCTAAGTCCATGCATAAAGCACATGGCATGGGCCTGGCACAAATAACTTCCCAATGAATATATGCAAAAATGATCATGTGCCTCTTCTCTTTGATTTCCTCTGCTTCAAGGTATAGATCTCAGTTCTAACATTGGCTCCATCCAATACTAAGGTGAAAGGCTTATAGTTGATTCAAATAATTGACTATAGTCTACAAATTGCTTCATCTTTATGATGATTCATTACCAGCTGGTCTCCCCACCTCAACCCCCAGCCTTTCTGTGATTGAAAAGAAAATGAAATTATCTTCTTATGCCTTTTTGGTATCATTAAAAATAATTTGTATATAAACCCATTGTAGCACTTGATAATTATGTTTAAAGGAAACATGTGTTAAGTTATTTGCGTTACTTTGTGGAGGGGGCGGGGGTATACTAGGGGAGGGAAAATGTGCTGCTTCTGGGTAATAAATACAATGCAGAAGTAGACAGAAGAATCAAGCTAAAATTTCTTATTTGTCCATTTTACTAACATTTCAGAAGAGAGAAGTATCGGCATACAGCAGAAACCTGCACATGTTTTGTTCACTTTATCTCTGTCCTAGAACTGGGGGTAGATGTTTTCAAATCCTTACATCCCAACTTTAAATTCCATCAGGTTGAGAGAGAGACAAAGAGACAAGTATAAAAACAGACAAGCTTAAAAGGCAATGGCAGGTAGCAAAAGGTTATTCAGGAAATAGGGTGATATGTTTGGAAATACTATGCTTGTTATCCTCTGCTTGCCACTCCCAATCCAATCTGTCACTCTCTTGTCTGGTCTCTGATTGGGTTCAGCTAACAGGAAGCACTACCAGAAGACTGGAGGGTGGCAGGAGAGAGAGACTAGGTTATTTGTACCCCCAGTTCTTCTTTGTTTTGAAGTCGAGATGGTGACAGATCTGTGCGCCTCTGTGACTGCAGCTCCAGGGTGGCTGTTTCCCAACCTAGCAGCCCCAGTTTTCACCTGGCTCAGGCAGCACCTTTTCCTCTCCTTGCCTCTGAAAGGTGGGAGGGGGGCCATGGGTGCTTCATTAAATCATATTTGTTTCCTTAATCTTGCTCATACCTCTCTTCCTTAAAGTGTTTTCATTTGGTTATTTAGAAGTAAATTGTGTTCTGTTTTGTCCTTGACTGATTTAATCAGTAATTTGAAGAAGGCCTAATTGTAATAAAATATTTGAAATTTTACTTTGATTCCTCAAACTCTCTAGATTATGCTGGATATATTCAATTACTTCAGATCTTTCTCCCCAGCAATTCTTTCATCATTTTAATCTAGAGACTAAGCCATGTTCTAAAAAGTGAAAGTCTACACAGATCTACCCTTTTCAGAGAGAGTAAGGGGCTGGTCCCACTTCTATACCTTCAACCAATCTAAACAGTTTATTGTGTAAACCAACTCTGATGTGAATAATGCTTTTTCATATGTTAATTCAGAAAGAGAAGCTGCACTGAATGAAGAGACATTTTGTCATTCTTGCAGTGCAATCATTCCCATTCAAATGTGGATCCCAGAGTCCAGACTTGTAAGACTTTCAATCTATGACACTTTATATTTCCCTATGTCTTTCTATCTCTATCTATGCATCTATGTATCTATCTGCAAACCTATATGTACTTTGACTATGCACTTAACATGAATGCATATATACCCTTTAAACCATGTGTTTTCATATGTAGCTGACAGAACCTAAGTATAGTGTTCCCATGAAAATATATTTCTAATATAA